AGTATTTAAATAAGTAAATATAATAAGTATTACATCAGTAAGAAAACACATTGGCATTTAAATGAAAGCAGGAAGTTCTAATGGCCACAGTGGACTAGAAAACAGGGACACTGCAGACAAAGCAAAGGAATAACGTAATCCAATACAACAGCCCTGCAGTAATTAGAACTTTCTAAAATTCCTTTAAGAGGATATTTTTGTAAGATTTTTATTTTTATTTTTATTTTATTTTTTTTAAGTGCAACTGATCTAGTAATATGTAAAATACAAAAATACAATAGAATACAAAAATACAATGCAGTCTACTGCATCCATTGTACAAAATATTGCCTCATTTGAACCCTTGCTGCCATTGGATTGGATTACATCAGGCTGCAAACGTGCTCAAGAGCTACTGGATGTTGGTTTGCTGTTTGCCATGTTTAGTATACAAGGCTTTTTAAATGGGGAATTCATGGGGAAAACAAAAAAACATTCTGCATTTAATCATGTTTGTCAGGTGCTTCTGAGTATTTAACTTTATTGATTGACCGTGTACCTTGTATGGAATCCCAAATGTGCCAAATTTGATGACACATAGAGAATACTGGTGGACTTTCCTGAGCACTGTATTTGTTGATAATTGGTCAGAATTTAAATTGACAAATTGAGAAAGTAGTGACCATACAAAATACAGAGCAGCTCTTTTTATAGCAGTTTTTTGACACAAAGATTCAAACAATTTATTCCCAGCTTGAATAAAAACACTATCGCGCAAGTTTTGCATATTTTTTTAGGATTGCTATAAGGTCATCTGAAACAAATATGGATGGAACATATAAGCGAGCTTTGGTAAAGAGGTACGTGGAGACGTGGTTCAAGCAGAAAAAAAAAGAAAAGAAAGAACAACAATGGAAGTTTCACAACACAAGCAATCAGACCTGTACAATTGGTGGATAAATTTAGACTGGAAGGTTGAGTGTCACTTAAGGGTTGCTGGAGGATCCTCAAAGGGACTGACTTTCTCAGGTTGCTGCCATTACACAAACCAGTCAGGTGTTTAAGACACGTTTAAACCCTTCAAGGCTTCAGCTTCTGCACAGCACTGAGTACTGACACATGGAGGAAAACCAAAGAGGCTTAATGTGGCATGTTTACAAAAGGTTTCGAAACACAATGACGCACTGCGTTCAGCAGCAAATGGAGCGTCACTTGGCAAGGGAAAGTTCCACATTACCACATAATGCAACCAATTTCATGTTCATTTGGTGTGGCTTTTGTGAAAATTATTTAAATTGTGTTTTTTCTGCTTGCTCTACGACAACTGATTGTTTTCCATGTTGTCAATACAATTCATATCCCTTTATATTTGAATGTAATAGACTTTTTCATTTGATAGCACGATGAACAAGTTCAGGAAATATTAGTCTCTGTGACAGATGCCAGGTCATAGGAATAGTTTTACCGTTTGGATAAAATAATCAGATGGAGCTGTTGGTATCTGGGTAATCCAATAAATTGAAAACCTAAAAAAATCAAGGTGCTTCAATATATTAATGCAAAAATCGAAAAATGGGAGCTATTTATAAGAACATATATTAAAAGAGATAAAGAAAAAATACCTTCTCTATGGTCTACAGACATGGAACTTCCCCATGCTGGAACAGTTGGCATCAGTTTCTAATGCTTAGGAGTGGATACTTGCCTTAACCAGAGTAACCTTATAGTCTACCTGTATTTTAACCACAACCAGTTATCTCCAATTTAATTAAGACATTTAAATTTAGTTTTTATTCACTATTATCAAAATGTTTCCTTAACATTAAGTAAGCTTTTTTTTTTTTTTTTTTTAGCTACCTCAACCTTAGTTAATCTGCCATAACCCTGATCTCTCAGCTATAGCTTTGATTAGAGCAAAAAATTAGTGCATTTCCCAAATGACAAACTATTTTCATAATGGATCATACAAAAAAAGTCACTTCTAGTCCCTGGATTAGTTCAGACTTTTTTCAGTGGAATTCTGGGGATGAAGTTTAAGCAGCTAAAATTGGTCGACTGTTTTTGACCTTCCAAACATTAGGGGCTCCAACTAAAAAGTTGTTGTAATCAGATATGATCAAGCAGCAGAAACCTTTAGCACAGAAGTTGATGTGGAAATATTTAGAGTCCTCTAAAGTTCACTTGACAAGTGAACTTCTACTTGCTGAAGTATTTCCAGAAATGATAATCACACCTCAGCATTTCTGCATAATTAACACAATGTTGTAATCAAGGACTTTCATTAGGCACACCACTGGAGTCGTTCATCAAGCCCACTGTCTTCATCCCTGTTTGCCTCCACTTTTGACCCGTCCACCGTGACCTTTGATTTACCCTGATGCCGGCTCTTTTCTCTGGGACTTCAATCAGGATTCTTCCCATTCCACTCACTTCATTTCCAGATGACCCTGCCGCTGAACTCTCTGAGCACTAAAGAGCTTCTCTGTGTTCCAGCAGAGAATCAGTCTTCCAATTTAACTTCCTTCCTTCTGTCCTTGAGTTGATATCGAAGAGCTTGAGCGAGTGGTTTGACAGTAATGTGGAGTGAAAGTGCAAAAACAGACATGCACGAACAAGCGAAGCACATTTTTGAATATTGCTTATCTTCATTCCAGAAATGTGCATACATGAACATTAAACATGAAGTTAAAGAACATTTTCATGAGACCCAAGGTATGTGCAAAAGGGAAAACACTCCACCAAGTAAAACTACATTTCTTGTTTGGAAATTTGCTTTTCTACTTTCTTGCCAAGAGTTAGATAAAAAAAATCTTTGGGAACCTCTTCATTGACAACCTCCTATTACACAGATTTTGAAATCATATTGAAGGATCTAAAAAAGTTTTCCAATTTTTGTATTGTAGTTCCAAACATGCTAGCAGATTAGCTTGCAAGCAGTGGTGCTAGCTCAATTCCATCCTGCCTAGGACTCAATCAACAGTCATCACTTTCATACATTTCTGTTCTATATAGAGATGCAGCTGAGAGGCAACTGCACACTCAGATTCTTTTTTTGTTCTATAAGCATTCTCAGAATGTTCTTTGAAAGTTATTGTTTAATTCCCACAGTGTTTTCCCTAAAGGTAGGATAACATTATCTAAACACATTCTAATACTGTCTGGTGACAACACTGAAAGACCATTATGCCATTACCTAACATTGCAACATTGTGGGAACATTATATAGAGGAAAAATCTACCCCAAGAACATCCCCAAAACAGAATATTGCAAGTAAAATGTTCTACCTTTGTTAACATTTTATAAAGGAAAATGTATGTTCTCTCATCTAAGGCCTCGATAACATCTTTCATGTCATTTCTCAAATGCTGGTTTAAGAATATTCTACCTTTGTTATCATGGAACATAACAGGTCATTTCCCACTGCAGGAACTTGACGGCCATTTTGTCTGGTCCACATGAACTGCCCCCCGAAGAACGTCTTTCTGAGCTAAAGCATTGAACTGCTAAACCACAACTTTTCATGTTTCATTAGGCTAGCTGTTTACTTACGCTGCCAGTCTTAATGCTAAGCTAAGCTAATTGCTGCCATGTGGATGTCAACGAAAACATTGATTGATTAAACTCAGCGGATTAAACTTGCTGTTCTCTCAACATCCTCCAAGAATAACAGTCTTCTCATCTCTAACATTACCTTTCATTGTAAAACTTCTTCTATGGGCTCATAGAACTGGAGTTGCAGCCAGTAACAGATATTAGTTGCTGTTTTGGCCCACTTGGAGTTAATGTTGCAGTCGATGCGGTCAGATCCTACACTGGGATGGAAACAACCAGCTGCTTTGTCTGTTATACATCTGGTTTCTTGCAAAACAATACATTTTGGAAGCTCTTCACAGGACAATGTGAAGTATGAATGTATGTTATCAATTGGAGCTATATAAATACAACTGATTTGAATTGAATTAAACTGTTCCTGCAATGGAAAGCTGCCTAACCTGTGGTCCTGACAACATCCCCTGAAAGTTGTAGTTAAAAAAAGTATATATTTTTGTTAACTTTTAATCTAACTGGAACATTGTTGTTATATATAACCTTTCAAAGGCTGGCTTAAACATTAGGCTAAAATGTTTTCTCTAAAACATGATTCAAACTTGTGGGTAGCGTAAGCCAGTGTTGCATCCCAAGCTAGCTGTGTAGCAGCACTAGCATAAAAAGTGGAAACAGAGAAATGGGCAGAATTTAGTCCATGAGCACCTATCAATCTCACAAATGGACCCATTAAAACATCTTCCATACGAAGAAAATCCGTGCGCCCAGCCGCTAAACTTCTCATGAAGCCACAACTTTCAACGTTTCAATTTTCAGTTTGTATATAGATTAAACAAGCAAGATAGAAACGGTTAATGTGAGAATTTTAAAGATGGCGGAGAACCTATATTGAAACTTTGCACACAGCTAGGCTAGCTGTTTCCCTCTGCTGCCAGTATTCATGCTTAGCTAAGCTAACTGCTTCTTGGTTATAGTTTGAAACTTAACCTGCAAACATAAGAGGATCTTTTTTTATCTCATTCTCGGCAAGACAGAAAATAAGCACCTCTCTTAATGCATCCTGGAAAAGATGCTGTTAAAAAAAAAAGAAAACGAATGACAAACCAATAATAAATACATTTAAAATGGTCCCTGAATTAACCATATTTGTTCCTGTGCTCATGGCCACAACTGTAGATACTGACAGAATGACAGAAAAACTAATGGTGTCGTTTCTTTCAGTGAATATAACGTGTCAATTCACTACATAAAAAACTGTAACAAGAAACCGTCCTCAGTGCATACAGAATGGACTTGAAAGTAAAGTGCACTAAATCTGTGTGTTTGTTTTCTTGATAGTGTCACAACCTTATAATGTGTCATCTCAGGAATACATAGCTTTTCATCAACGCTGCAAAATGACGACATTCTGTTAATGCAAGGCCACAGCCTTAGTTACACTGATTAAAGTGGCGTAACATCTTCTGTGCAGTGTAACAGCGAATAAGAACATAAGCAAGTGTGATCCAGTGCCTTTCTGATATTAATAAATCTACTCTATACAAGCCACAGGAGTGGGAGTACAAAAGACGACAGCCTGTACAAACAGTAAAAACACAACTTTGAGCTTGACAGTAACACCCAAACCTGATCTGAGGTGGCTCGTATGATGCGTTTGCAGTTTAGCTTTCAAAACATTGTTGAAAATACATGTGACCTTTGAAAATTTTCTAGCATTTTTACACTTTTGCAAGCTTTGAATTACCAAAAAATAGAAAAAAAAAGAAGAAAAAGCTCAAGATGTGACTTGACTTTGGTTGGAAACCTCGAGTTTTCGAGTCGAGCCGTCTTGCAGGGACAACACTGCGAAAAAGTCGATCAGCAACACGTGCTGTTCGCTCGTCGCATCGGCAGTGTCGGGGTGTCTTTAATACTGGAAAAAACTAAGTCAGGAAACTCACACATCACATCACTTGTATGTTGTAACCACTGCAACGACAACGCAAATCCACAGATTAAGGAAAACCTCGTGGGAAAGATGCGTTTCCGAGGAAGAGGACGCTGGGAGCACACGGACATGCAGCCAAGATGCAAGACTCGGGAACCACTGGCAACAAGGATGAGTGGTTGATGACGTTACACTGGATGAGAGGCAGCGTGTGATTGGTTAAGTGTAGGGCACGGAGGGCAGGGAACAAGGCAAGATGTCCAACGCTTGAAGAGGTAAGGAGGTCACACAGTCTAAAGTGTTTGTCTCACATCTCAATGTGAGCCTCTTTGGCTGGTTGTGTGTCCTTTAATGAGCCAGAGATGGTGTAAAACCTGCAGGGACATGAAAAGAACATGAGACACACGAAGAAAAGTCTCTGGTTTTTTAACACACAAAAGTATAATACTGTAAGAATTTGAAGAAAACCTCATCAGGAAGCATAAACACACAGAGTTAGACACTGTGAGATCACACCCTTGTTCAATCACTCATAAAACGCTCATTAGTCATCCTACTGTCATCACACAGTTTAGTGACTCAGAAATGCAATTTGTGTCACTTTCATCTCAGCTGCAGGATCTAAAATTAGTTTTTGTTCCACTGGGCTCAACATGCATGAATTGTATTAATAATTTCACAGAGATAATTGTCATTTTCCAAGTCAAAACATCCTGATCATCCTGGTCTAATACGCTTTGGGTTCTTGATGTGAACAGCTCCAGCCTGCCAAGGTCTGAACACGATAACACCATTAAAGGTCCCCTGTGGTATCAGGCATCAGGATCTTAGCAGAAGATCCCTTAAAGTCCTTCTCCGATTATTGGTTTAACCCCTAAAAACTTGTATCTCTGTTACATATACACACATTTTTTTTTCCATGGAAATCATCTTATCCTTCTCCAAAAGGACTTCGATGTAACTCATTAAAGACTTAGCTTCCTTTATAATGTGCATATTTATGAAGTCCCTGCAGCTCAAGCACACCAGCTCACTTAGGGCTCTGCTTCAACACTGTAAAATTATACTAAAAGAGCTACGCTGTAATATTGGAGCAATCCACCCACGCATGTTTGAACCAGAAACCGATTCTGAAGAAGAAGGAAGGTGATCTATAAAGCCCCATGCTGACAGTCAACAGGAGTGGTTACCAGAAGGTTACCAACAGGCTTGTTATGTACGAAACCCCTGAATGTTATTGTGGAAATGCTCACTTATGGCTGGGTTTTTGGTCATGAAGCTGATAAAAACACAACAAGCAAATGTTAAGGAATAACGTATGGTAGACAGATTTCCTCCAGAGGGGGTCTTTAAGTCACGGATATTAGAGTAATATAAACATTTCAGCTACAGCACTTTCTTCAGAGAACTGCGGTCTGCAGTGGCCCTTGGCTGTGTGACAAAGCATCTTTTAGACTAACCATATGAAGCATGCTCAATCTCAAAATGTAATCTAAACACATGGATCATCAAGTGAGTTGACTTGATCAGTTCGGCTGATTGCGGAGTTCCGCTGATTTAGAATTACACTCTCGTCCTCATGAGGGGTGTTTGAAAAAAACAAACATCTACACCACTGCAGCATAACCAGAGTCATTTTTATTCTGCACTTTTTTCTTCCTCATTGAAACCGCAATGCAGTAACTTCCAACCCAGCTGGGCACACAAATCACTTGAAGCATGTCAGACTTCACACTGTTGCTTTCAGAACCACTACAGACACTAACGACCTTTTCCACGTCCGACCCCAACGCTTTGATGTGTAAAATCAGTGGGCTTTCCCCTTTAACAGATGGACATGTAGCGCACCGGATTGCTCTAATGTCCAGAAACAACGCTGAGCCCCTTTCAAACATGAATGACCACCTGGCTCACTTTTCCATAAATAGGAATAGGCACACCAAAAGATTGCTGCAATAGGCCGTGTTGTGTATAATGGGTGGCATGACTGACATCACCTGGTATCAGTCTTGCTAACTTTTCCAACCCCTTAAAAAAAATCTTTCCTTTTTTTCCAAGATACCATTGAGCTGCTTGTGAATGGCTCTGAAGTGACTGCTGTTTAACATGTAGTCTTAACGGGCTGCGTTTCAATCAAAATTTCATGCTTATTTTTGGTTTGACAAGAGGAAGTGAAGAATACCTAAATGAGAACAGCTTTATTGGGAATTTGGTTGCATTAAAATACAGTATGTGTGAGCACAGGGAGCAGGAGAGAAGCAAACAGACATGTCCTCTAACTAATATCATTTTACAGTATATTACCAGATAGTTTAACACATGATAGGAAAACATCATAAAAATGTAGGATTTCTTATCTGCAATTGTGTGTGTATTTTTTTTTAACCTAAGTTTAGAGGCTAACATCGTCGGGTCGCAACTGATCGCAGTTAAAAGACGTGTTCAGAGTTAAATTTAATGAAGTGTCAAACAGCGGTCAAACATTTTTCCGTTCTGTTGTCCTCTCAAATCGAACATGTTCAGGAGTCTGCAATCGCCGTCACCAACAATGACGACTTCCATTGTGCCTGCTGTAACAGCTTTCGCTCTCTCATGTCCTTGAGAAAGCGACTGAAGTGCAACACTCAATTACAGGCTCAGAAAGATGTTTCACTTCTTTTGTCAGCAGCTCAGCCTCTCTCTGACGGCATTACAGCCAGCGTGCCAAAGTCTGATCGATACTTGTTCCTGTCGAAGGTTAAATGACTGCAAGATGACCCGATCATCAAAAGGCGTAAAAGGAATTAAGATGAAACATTCCTTTTAGCATTTTAAACAATGTGCAGTTTTAGAATGAAAAAAGGGAATTTCATCATGCAAAACGCTGGGAAACCAACAGATCTGAGATCTTATATGTGACCAGTAGTTCAGACCTTAGTGACCTTGTTGGACTACGGTTTGTCATCACTAGTAAAGGCCAAGTGATTTAAAAACACTCTTACTCCTCAAACCTTGTCTTGACAATCGACAGCCACGGGGCTCCTGCAAGCAGCTGCACTGAAAATTAAGATAACTGATGCTTTGTGGGTGATGCTTTATTTTTTCAATGCATAATGCAATCAACCCATCTGCACTTCAGAATCCACACTGGGCTTAAAGGGCATCTTATCTTTGAATTATTTATATTCAAACAGTCCTAGAACAAATTAAGTTTAACATGGGGTTACACTGAGGAAATAGAAGTAAATCGAAGCTCAAAATCATGATATTTCATCAAAAACACTATAATCTACGTTTCAATATAAAAACTGCCAAAAGAAAAAAAAAGATTTCCTGAAGATCCTGTTAAAACAAAATACATTTTTCCATGACTTGAACAGATAGAGTTAAAATCAGCAGTTAAATGTTTAGCATAGAGAGCCACTGTTTTTGTTTCCAGTATTGGAAAAACCTGAGAGCATTTGGAAAAAAATGTAATTGTGTCCAAAGCGGATGAATAGTTATGCAGTCACTTATTTTACATTTTATATGTTTATTTTTAGTAGTAACTAATATCACTTTATAAAAATCAGTTTTCACTTTTACATAAAATAGTGATTTTTATATAAATTCTTGTCAAAAAGCCAAATTAAATCAACCAAACTTTTATGTTGAAAAGCAATGAAAGAAAAAAAATCCCTCCCTTCTCTTTACTGGAACTGTCGAACAAAGGTATGTCACAACTTTCCAGCTGTTAAACCGGGGGAATGGATCGATCATATTTTGTGCTTGTGTTGCAGTCGGTGGCACAGTGAACATTTCACTGCTGGAGACTTAAAAAAAAACAATATATGTAAATTGGCAGAGGCTTTTAGATTTTGCAGGAGGAATGAAACTTGCCAAAAGGGGGTGTTTTTAAGTACTGACCATACATTTGATTCAGGCGCTTCAAGTTTTTTCATTTCACACTATAATATATGAAAATATATTATTATCTGGTTTAAAAATGGGTGGCAGTTGGTAGCACTGTTGCCTCGCAGCAAGAAGGTCGCCGGTTCGCATCCCGGTGGGGGCACTGGAATCTTTCTGCGTGGAGTTTGCATGTTCTCCCCGTGCAGCGTGGGTTCTCTCCGGGTTCTCCGGCTTCCTCCCACACAGTCCAAAAACATGTTGAGGTTAATTGGTGATTCTAAATTGTCCGTAGGTGTGGATGTGAGTGTGCTTGGTTGTCTGTCTCTAAGTGTAGCCCTGTGATAGACTGGTGACCTGTCCAGGGTGTCTCCTGCCTTCGCCCTAAGTCGGCTGGGATAGACTCCAGCCCCCTGCAACCATAGTGAGGATTAAGCGGTGTATAGATGATGGATGGATGGATGGTTTAAAAATATAGGCTGTCTTGAACTTGGGGCCTTTTGGAATTTAGCTCATCTCACTTAGTGATCCACAGTAACAGACCACTGGTGCATGCCGCTGTATATTTGAATTCTGCTTTTGAGTAAACTGAAAGCTTCGGTTCATCAGCACAAGCTGTGTAAGCGACCCAACTGGGAGACTCACATGTTGAGATGTTATAAACTAAATCTGAGTCACCGTAACACAATTTATACACAAAATTCTTTGACAAATCACCTCAGCACCCAAAGAAATTCTGTCAGAAATGTTTACAACATCCTTATTCTGACTGGAAGTTAGATTCAATTCTACTAATTTGCTGTTTTATTGCTTTATTTTATTACGAGCCTGTCTGTGTCAGTCATTCTTTCCAGTCTATGAACAGTTTATGTTATTAAAAACGTGCTAAAAATAGCTAACATAGCATAATACAATAATAGTTAACGTTACATTAGATAAAAATGTTAGTCTTCCAGGTGCATGTAACTTATGTTGACAGGTTTTGGCCTTAAAATTCCCAGTATTCTGTGTGCAAAAGACACAGTCGGCTTCGTGTTGACATGCAGGCCTGCAGGAGCAGTGCTGACCGGTGAGGGCATTTTAATGTGGTATCAAGCCTGAATTGTGGCTCATGTGATCCACACTAACCCGAGAGGAATGTTTCACGAGCAAACTTCAATACAATAACGCCAGTTTTTGCGAGCGTTGCAGTGTGACTTCCTGGATGCCAGGAGGAAGTCAGCCGGCTCAGTCAGATGGACTCCAATGTGGGTCCCGATCTCTTCTGTTAAAATGAATGGAGCCCCATTGCTTTAGAATCCCTGTATGTGCGTTATGTACCCTGTGAACCCCACTAAGGCGGCGTCTCTGGGCTGTTTTTCTTTGCTTCCGTCACATTTTTACCGACTGTGGGTTCATTTTTTTCCCACAAATGTTACCAATGCTCAAACAAATAATGGTGATATGTTACTATTTGCATTTTTACAGCCTTTACAAACTGTTTTTCAGACTACTCCACACCATCTCTAAACAGATATTTCACCACACTCAATGCGTCTTCTGCTTCTATGTATACCAGGTTGTTTTTTTTTGTTTTTTAACAATGTTGCATTAAAATTTTCTGCTCGAATATGTTTTGTTTTCATTGATTTCACAGGCTGCAGTTCAGCACAAGAAATCTGTATTTTGAGGTACACTGATTTTTTTGTGTTTTTCGTGCAAATGTTTTATTTCTATAAATAAAACATGTTGAAAAAAGGGATCATGATATAAAGAATATCGTGATTTTAAGCTTCGATTTGGTTAATTTTCAAAATAGAATGCCACATTGCAGGTAAGAGTTAAAGGACTGTTGTTCAACTTGAAAATAGAATGATTCTTTCTGTCCTTATTCCTGTTTTTCAAGTTTATGGCTCTGATAAGTGGGGACAGCTTGGTGATTTTGGATGGATAAAAAATATTTACTGTACATACTTACTTAATAAAATGCACCACATAACAGATATCAAATCGAAATTGTGAGAGAGTCTAAAGATGAAGTTAAAATTTACATAATAAACCACTAATCAGAGGGCTTGTGGTGTCCAAGGGCTTCAGAACAGTTGTCTTGCTTTGCTCAGCTGGTAATCCAGTTTTAGATGTGGCCTTATCGTGTTCCAGTTGTGACGTTCTAACACTGAGACGTGACGTGGGTCAAGTGGCTGCTGAGGATTAACCAAATCCACTCACTGACTAAAGTCTATTCAGACACTTGTATCAAAGAGCTAACCATTCATAGCAAACGCTTTACTAGATTTGATGACAAAGGCTCCAAGTAATGAAGACACAAGCAAATGAAGTATCAGGTTGTAATGGTTGCGCTGGGTGTGTGTATGTATGAAGACTGGATTTACCTTGACTTTCTAAAATGCCTACGTTTCTTCATGACCTTAAAACAGCAGGATGAACATGAGTTTTTCAGGTCCACAAGCTGGTAGATGATTGGGTTGTACATCGCTGCAGACTTGGCCAGCAACGTGGGAATGACAGACACCGGGATGGGCACTGAGTCTGGCTCGCCAAACGCTGACACCACCGACACGACTGCATAAGGGATCCAGGCTATCAAGAAGCCTGCACAGATCAGCATCGCCACCTGGGAGACGACACAAAACAATATTCAGACTGCAGATATGAGCAGCGGTGGAATGTCTTTGCTGTCTCATCTCCCTCTGTCCCTTCCCTCCGATGTCTCACCCACCTTAGTGAGTTTCATCTCAAGGTTGTGGCTGTTTTTGATGCGGGCGTCAAAGTGCGAAATTTCCTTGGTGGAGGACTTGACCTTGAAGATGATCATGACGTAGGAGAAGACGATGATGCCGGCGGGGAGGACGAGACAGAAGAACAGGATGGACATGACGAAGCTCTGGCCGGACACGGAGGCCTGCGCCAGCCACCAGTCCAGCGTGCAGGAGGTGCCGAAGGGCTCCGGGGCGTAGTTCCCCCAACCGACCAGGGGCATGGTGGCCCAGAAGCCTGCATACATCCACACGAAGGCCAGGCACACGAAGGCGTGGTGGCGTTTTAGCCAAGTTCCTAAGAATTAAGAAGAAAAAAAAAGGAGGAACTGTGGTTAAGTGGTGAAAAAGACAATAAAAACTTAGCTTTACCTCCAACATTGACCTCCCCCTCAGTATTTAGACCACATAAAAACTGTATCTTCTGTAAAAGTCCTGATAAACGACCTCCCGCGTGGCATGGCTGTATCAAGCAGCAGTATATGGTGTATTTTCCACTTGGAGCAACATGTCTGTTCTCATAAATCACATCCATCAAATGCACAGTTTGCTTCAGTCAGGCGTTGACAATGTGCCATTTAAAGAAGCTGAGGGTTTAAAGAAAATTTAGCTCGGGGGGATGTGAGTTGCGTGTGCCTGCTTTTTTTCCTGCTTTCTTGATCATTCAGTAAGTGGCTGGGGGATTTCTCGCTTATATTTTTATTCCAATTTCTGTTGCTAAAGGCAAGCCGAAAAAAATAAATACATTGACATTACATTTGTAATGGCAGCACTCCTGATATTAATGTTTTTAGTCTGTCGGCTGCTAAGTTCCATCTGTGAGCACGTCTAAGTTACTCTGTGCTTTGGTATAAATTAGACGGTAAAATAACAGAAGTTTTTGTTCCTACAGTCTGGTCATTCACCTTCACCACATCACAACCCATTTATCAAACACAGCTAACACAAGTTAGTCCCCCCTACTTTACAGGAGGGATAATATAAGGTAACATGGGATGAAGAACACATTGTGCATAAGCTCCACAATGGCATTCGGTAGGTGTTGAAGCAAGATGCATGACAGGTCCAGGCCAATGGGAATCTCTGCCAACTAGCTTTGCGTGCAAGCTTTTACTATCTAGATGGAAAACAAACTTGACAGCACAGTGGATCCTCCTAAATGTGAAATCTGAGAGGAGCATCAAGGAAGTCAAGGAATAAAAGCTGCCAGACGGATGCTTGAAGCTGAGATTCTGTTACTACAAATAAATCTCAAACAGTTTTATCTACTTTTGAAAAAACAAATGCATAACAGCTGTAGCAGTGTTTCCCAAGCACGGATTTATTTTTTGGCAACCTGCCATAAAATTAAGATTGACTGTACTCTGTTTAATATTTCGTTGTCTGAACTCCCAAGTAATCTCTGGGTGTTTTATGAATTTATCACATTTTTATTGTGGGCTCATTTTTGCTGCAATATAAAGTCATGCACCTCTATGGAAACAGCACAAACATGTCTTTTGTACAGTGCAACAAAGTTAGAATGCCACAAATTATAAAAAGAAGCCTAACCCCTTAAACCCTAAGGGAACAATGGCCTCTTGCCTTACCAGTCTTCCCTTCACAAATTCCAGAAACCTAACCCGAACTAAAAAACGAGATGACACTAACCTACAACAAGGTGAACGGAGAGCAATGAAGACGTGCGACGGCCAGTGCATTGCCTTAACTTCCTACCCCAAACTGCTTTGTCGTCGGACACGGCAGGGGAAGTTATCGAGACAGATTTAAAAAATCTAACTGAAAATGTATTTCTGTGATTATTGGTTTTCAAAAATGAAAAAAAACACGGACAACTTTTTTCCATGTGCTCACAGGTGTTACCTGTAACAGTTAAGAGGGTGATTCTACATTCTATAGATACTGAACTTAATGACATTAAGTTACTCTGATAAGTTTATCTACAGTATGTTCTGTCAGTCTTGCAGATCCACCTCTTCGAATAAGTTGGTAGCTGCACGTAAGCAGCCTAGCTAAGAATGATGGTCATCGGGCGTACCAGGACAAATCCCCGTGGGCCGCCGCATCAGTGGTTTGGCGCACCATTAAAAAAATCCATAAAGTTGTCACCAGCCCTGTCTGTTACCCTACCTGCCCTTTATGTGCCTGTCATACAGGGTGCACATAAAAACATGCTGCTCTGGGACTGAGTTCTGCAGTAACCAACCCGCAACCTGAGCGCCAACAAATGTGACGAGCTCTCCAAGAAATTTGCTTTTAATATTTACAGGAAACAGTGACAGCTGCAGCTAGAAAAGAGAGTCGTGAAGAGGAGGAGGACGTCAGCCAACGTGTACGTCTGTGTTTTTCGGTTATTTATTTGTCACAAAATACCTGCCAATGAAGATATTTGCAGTGGAGCACCTTGTACGTGGTACCTAACTTTAAAAAGCGTAGGTGTTCCTCCTCCTGTCGCCAGCTAACGACACAAATACAGTCTAATTCTGTGGGAAACACTGCTGCAGTGTGATTACAGTTTATATGTCCCAACACAAACACTGAAAAGACCTGAAATTTCACGTTTCATGACGTTAACTTAATATCAGTTTAAAGTGTAGAGTAGGATCTGAAATACAAAACATGATAAAAAAAAAAAGTAGATGTGTGCATCAAGGGTCAACAAGAGCACACCATGTACAACACATAAGTTATGGACCAAATGTAGTGTAATAAGAAGAGCCTCTGTAGTCCTTGAAGGACATCCTATACTTTCTCATTTGCATAAATGATTGTTTTAATTTAGGAGTACAATTATTTCAATATTTAGGAAGGAATGCTCCTGTCATGGGTTTAGATTGTCATTGCAAACACATCAGTTTTCCTTGTACAGGAAAGTCAACACAGACACATTCAGGGCTGCCCACAAAAATCTTTTGTAATCTCCCCAATGACCTCTGGGGTAACATGGAGCTATACTGGTGTACGTGGAATTCAAATATTCATGAAACCCCGATAAGATTTCATGTTCCAGTCTTCATGAGTTTATTACATTCATGATGTGCTGTTGGATCTAGTTGTGTATCGCGGGTTTTCTTGTCTGCCTGCTTTTGTATGTTGTTACAATTCTGTGCTGCCTCTGATTTTGTCAGTGCTTTTTCTTTTTTCTACAATTAGCTTGACGCTTTAAACTGGTACGGTGCTCTGCATGTTTGAGCTGTATACGCTCCCTTTTAAATACATGAAAAAATATACACATATAAAGAAAAATAAGAGTTTTTGACGCACCGTATCGGAGGTGGCAGATCTTAAGGTACCGGTCCAGGCTGACCACCGTCATGGTGATGAGGCTCCCGCAGCCGAAGAAGAAACCCGCCCAGCCGTAGAACCGACAGCCCTCCCAACCGAACAACCAGCGGTGGGAGAAACTTGATACAATGAAAAAGGGCTTTCCTGTCACTGCAAGAAAGCAAAAGGGGGGGGGGCAACAAACAAGACAAGAAGAAGAGGACAAAAGACGAAGAGGCATGAAAATGGAAAAAGAGGACAGATGGGGATGAAAGGAGGATGAAAGCAAAGAGGTAGAGTTGGAGAAAGTCCATACTTGGAGTTAGAATTACAATGCAAATCATTCCTGTGATGTAATGTACATCAGTACAAATCTTTGCCCACAGAGAAATGTGTGGTTAACGCCACATAAACACTTGCTTCTTCAATAATACAGTTATTCATTCTTCAAACTGTATAGTTCATTCATGGTCGCAACAGAAACAGCAACCATCAACTTCCTCCAGCTCCTTCTAGGGGACCTCCAGCCATTTCCAGGCCAACCGGTGACTGGGTCGGCTTTCATTATTTGTTAGGTGTATACATGGTTGGATCCTGATTGCTCCATTGTGGACCCAGTCATTCTCCAGCACCAATCAATCCCCTAATAAACATTGAATCTGTCCTTCTTACTGTAGTTTCTATTAACAAAGATCAATGTAGGTATGTAACGGTAGCTTAGTGTTGGCATTTTTCAGTTCACTTATAAAAAGAAAGATCTGGCCAGTAGGCATTAAGCATCACAGGAAACTTTCTCATGGTGGCACTTTACTAGCTAAACTCCCACAATGCTCTCTGCTTACCAACGCTGAACAGCCAGTGGTAAGAGTCACTGCCTCCTTTGGTGACTATAGTATTACACAGAAAATGCTTCACCTGGTAGCACAACCATATTATTACAGCTAATCAACAATACATTTTCAGATAGGCAAGTCCTTCATTTTCTGCATCATGGATTAATATACTTTTAATTGGATAAATTACTAACAGCTATTTGGATGTTAATCATTAACATCCCTTATTTGGATTCAGTAAAATTCCTTCAAACTCTACTGTCTATTGAGAGGTGGTCACTAATTATAAGAAAAGCAGGTAATGAGTTTTAATCAAAATAATAATAAGGTTAACTACCTTAACCTGCACGACATTCTGTTGGTAGCATTTTATGGAAACTTGAGCTAAATCTGCAGTAAACACCCAGACAAAGTGTAAAAACGCATACTTGTTGATTTTGGAGATCAAAATGGTAAAGCTTACTAAATACTACAAACGACAAGTAAAAATGTGCTGGGAAGGCCCAAAAACTAAATTATTAAATTGAATATGTATCAATTTCCTTTCAGCTTTATGACCTCTAAAAACACTCCCAGTAGATTCTCGCCAGCTTGTAGTGTTTCAGCTCATTCATCATCGCAAAAGCTGCCAAGATGATTGAGTTTACATGCTCCCAAGTTGTTTACTGGGATTCACATCCGGCCACAGTGATGGCCCCTCAAGGATGTTTCTGGAATGAACCCCCGAGCCAAACTTAGGTTGACTTTGGAAGTATGTTTGGGATCATTGTCTTGCTAGAAAGTGCACTGAATACCAAGCTTCATTTTACACACTGAGAGGAACACATTCTTAAATATAGTTAAGTATATCAACAAATCCATGAAACCTGTAAAACTGACACATTTAGCAGCAAAACACCGAACCAACATTATGCTACCACCTCCGTGCGTGACTTTTAGGGTGGTATTCTTCTGGTGACACTGATTTAAATAGTTTACCACTCCATAACACAGAACTCTACATGCCGGGCTATTTTGTTTTTTTTTTTTGCGTATTGAAAAGGACTTTGAACTTTTTAGCATTGCAATACTGTAGGACTCTGCTCTTTGTTCCATGCCCAAAGAGGTTTGTTGCTTTTAATTTTCATATTATGCTCTCAGCTGTATCACTTTGAACTTGAATTCTTTTCTAACCATTAGCTTTCAATAACAGAGGGATTTTTCCTTTACTTAGGTTTTCCTACAGTTCATTTCGCTCTGCCATGTTTGTTACTCACCTTGAACTTCCGTATAGGCAGGATTGTACAATTTTCACAGCAGATACAAATTCAGTGACATACATTCCCACCAAAATTAACTGCATTGCACAAAAATTGGTAGCCTTATTTAATATTAAACTGATTTTATTTTGTTTTATTTAAACAGCAGGGGTGAGTAATTATGACATGGTTGTATTACAAAAACAACCCCACTGCTCCAAAATATGACATTCTAATTATATATTCAGCAGGGGTCCAGTAATTTTAATTGCAACCGTAATAACAGGCATTAGTGCAGAAAGCCTGTTAAGATTGGAGCCCTGCCATTATATCTTATGGCTGGTGTTGACATGTCACAGCTATATCGGTATCCGCCCACATGTTGTCCAATATGCACTGGTATAAAAACTATAAAAACACAGAAAAGAACAAAGAAAAAAAATATGCTTAAGGAAAGTTTAGAACAATCACATCACACAGTTTGTCCACGGCAGCACGCTATTGCTCCATTCTTTACAATCGTCTCTGCAGCACATGCAGCAGAGAATGCGTCACAGCTGAGCAGACAGTGGTGGAGAGTCGTGCAGTTTCTTCGTGGTGAGCTGTGAACTAGTTTGTTATATACATTGCTCGGAAGTCAGTAAACTATAACCTCATTTTTTTGTCCTTCCTAACTTGACTCTAATATGTGTATGCATATATTATATATAAACAACACTGGCTGATATATCAATGTTGGAATTTTTTACTCTCTAAAAATCAGCATTGAAATCTGCTTTAAAATCCTTTACCAGTCAGGATCTAGTTGTGATAATCTGACATGTATTCTTGACTAAATGAAATGCAACAATTGTAAAAATCCCACTTTATGTGTTGTAGTGCTGACGACAAAAGCCCCTTTCTTGTTTCCCAGTACTTCAAATTGAAAGGATAAAAGTGGGAACATGTGACAGACTCTTGTGACAACCTATGAGCTCCTCTTTACTGAACAAAGAAGAGGGAAAGAAGGGCTAATGTTGACCGAAACACAAACCAATGGTAGTGTTTCTTGTAATAAAGCTTCCTCAAAATGTACGCTGCTAAATATGAGAGTGTCAGTGTTATGGTAGCTCAGATATTTTCATGAGATTTGCCTTTTCCTTTGAGGTGGGAATACCCTTCGCACACAACAAGGCCTATTGAGTTCAACACAAAGTGCCAGTGTATTCCCACAGTGGCTCCCCGACTGCTGAGTCCGAGGCAGGCCTTCCTCCTGCAGACCTGCACAGACCAAGAGCCATGTGGCACGCCAAGCCTCAAGCGACATAGAGGGGATAAAAATCAAAACCTCTTGGCAAGATTGCAGACATGATTAGCCAAATGTTTTCTTGGAATTACTGAAAAACCAGCAGGGGATGTACACACACACTTCCACACAGTTGCTCACGTGTTTGGACGCTTAACAGCATTTAAAAATCGTGAGTCACTGCAAAACCTACCCGCTCCACAAGGGCAGGAAGAGGAGAAAAGCTTGTGGTGAGATCTGTTTTTGGTTGATGGATTGGGTGGAGGTAAATGGAATTCCTGTTTTAAAAAAAATCTCCTTCAAAAAAAGCTTCAAAAAATGCTCAAATCCAATTTTAGTAATGTGATGAACATCAGATGACCAAGAGTGTTGCTCAAGAGGAAATATTGACCTGATTGGTATGGAGGCAGTCAGTCTTTAGGAACAATCCCGAGCACATAAATATTCAATACTCGGATGGTAATTTCTCTAGTAGTTGTCAAGATGACTTGCTCTTGACCACATGGGTGACCTCGTAATCTCTAGATCCTATGGGGCAAAAACTAATTTCAGTAATGGAGACCATTCATAATGTTAATGTGTTTGGCTTGATCCGGAGAGCGTCTGATCTGGATTTTTCGACGAGCTTATGGAAAGCTAAGGTTAATGTCTGCTACATAGCTCCAACCGCTACCTTCAGTGTTCTTACCAGAATCCTGTCAAGAAATGACAAAAACATGATGTGAAATACATTACCACTAGAAATTCTAGTTTTTGTTTATTATGTTATATTGATGATGACCAGGAAGACCATGTGCTTGTTGGACCCACTAAAAGGACTAATGAGAGGACTGGCCATCCGAGGAGGATTAGTGAGGATTACAGCACTGAGGATGTACGTATTACGCAAGGTATACAATATGTAAGTACTTTTTAATTCATTTATTGCAGTTATGTAATTCCAATACAATCTAAGAAAAAAATATATATATACAGTATATATACGCTTTGTGCATGTTTGAGGGACTTTCTTGTGGTTCGACTGAACAGAGTCCCACCTGAGTGAGTTATCTGTGAGTTAATGGACTCACACTAGAGTCTATTAACTCGACAGCTGCATTACCTTAACAGAACTCTGCACTCATTAAAATCTGTCTTCAGTTAAGGCTGTCCAATGGTTCCCCAACACCATACAAAGGCCACATGAATGCCGCAAGGAGTGAAAGCATCAGTGCCTGCAGGTACTAACAGAAACACTTCTGTTTAAAGAAAGTGTATCATCCAGGAATAACTTCATCGCGATGGTATGTTAAATTAATAATTAGCATCACAAATAGAAATACACCACAAAAGATGTTTAGTTGGTTCCTTTCCACAGTTGCTTGCCCATAGGGAATCCAAAGGGAACTTTGGATTGTTGGGTTCTCTTTTCTCTGTAAGACCTTGCTATGTCAAGATTTACGAGATGACACATGTTGTTAATTGGTGCTATATAAATAAAACTGAATTTTATTGAATTATAAAGCAAAAACTATACCTAATTTAAATTTGATAACCTTCTCCTTTTAAGTCTTGTGCAGCGGTAACACAGCTTCCAGTGCTCCAGCCACATCCAGAACGCTCCCTGAAAGTCCTGTCCTGAACACTTACAGGTGCGATTTCACCCTGGACTTTGAACATGTGTAGAGAGCAAACATAAAATTTTGTGTTAAGATGAGCCAATCCCCATGTTGAGAATCATCACTGCTGACTAGCGCGTGGTCTAAGGCTATGACCCAGAGACCAAACAGCAGTGATCAGTGGAAGACCCCGAGGCTCCAGGACTGAAAGAGGTGT